ACTATTGTATTGAACCCTATTTTTAAATGAATGTTGTAAACGTTTGAATTTAGATTTTTATATTTGATTCGTTCTCATTTTATATATATATATATATATATATATATATATATCATCACATCCTGGACAATCTAATGTGGTCCATTTAGAGGACTTGCGGAAAACAACTGTTTATATTTTTTAAAACAAATAAAAACACCTGAAATATAAGTAAATGAAATATATATATATATATATATAATATATATATATAAAATATTTATTTTATAAATCTATATCTATATCTATCTATCTATCTATCTATATTTATATATATATGTAGAATCTCGTCACTCAAATCATAAAGAGAAACTTTTATTTATAAAGAATATAAAATTATGGCAAGTTGCAAAGAAATACTTATTCTATAAATTGTCAAGTAAAACCTGACTATTCATAAATTATTCCGTTCATTTCTAAATATCAATGGAAAAAGCCGTATCTATGATGTTCTGAACAACTAAATCGTGTTTTTAGAATTTACCCCATGCAAGGCAGTAAAGCCACTAAGATGCAATAAAGGTGAAAGAATTAGAAAACAGAAACATCATAAAAGCCATAAAATAGAAAAAGTAAAGGAAGACAGAAGATTACGATTGACGTTGCAAAATTTTTAAGATCAAAGTTGACTGGGAAGTTCCACAGGAGAGAATTGCAAAGGAAATAGGACTTATTCCATTTCAAAAATTGGTTGAACATTGCTGTCAATCTAGTACTGCGCTTAAATTAATAAAATCTAATAAGATAAAAAGGCGAAAATAATCAGTCTATAAAATTTTTTTATACGTTTCACCTCAAGTAAAACCACTAAGACGCAAGAGGTTAAATATAATGAGAGTGGCCAATAATGGAATAAAATTAAGAAGACAGTAACATTAATATGGTGATGTTCTGAACAACTTAAAATCGTGTTTTTTTAACCGAATTTACCCCATGCAAGGCAGTAAAGCCACTAAGATGCAATGGGTTTAATGGTCTGAAAGAATTAGAAAACAGGAACATCATGAATAAGCCATAATAATAGAAAAGTAACCAGGAAGACAGAGGATTACGATTGACGTTGCATTTAAATTTTTGAAGATCAAATAAGACTGGGAAGCCAGAAGAGGATTCCACACGCGAGAATTGATGTTAGAGAAAATTGAAACGAAAAGGACATTTCTATATATCATTATAAACAGACAGTTTAAATTTCTATGCAAACATTGGGGAAAGTGGTCTTGGAAAATTTGATACTCAAAGGACATATTGAAAGACAAAGAGATAGGGAAGCAGTGATTAACTTAGTTAACGAATTTATGTAAATGACTGAAAGAACAGGGATTAGGAGTAAGAACAAACTTTATTACAAGCTACAAAGGAAAGGAAATTGTGGAGAGCCATGATTGTCCAAATTCTGAAGGCACAGAGAGCCTAGAAGAAGCATAGTATTCGCAAAAACCTTTAGAACTAATGGTGATTCATTCAAATAGAAACAAATCATTTGTTAAATGCTTGGTTTCCTAATTCTATATTTTCAGGATCTCTTTACAAAAGATTGAAATCATAAAGAGATAAATTTACCAAAAAAAAAACAAAAAAAACAAAAAACAATTCCATTTTTTTTATGGGTTAATAACTCTAAACTTTAAAGTCTAGAGAATTAGAAAATTATAACAAATTGTAAATGAATAATTACTCTATAAATTGTCATGTAAAATCTGCTTCGTCATAAACCTATTTTGTTCATATTGAATCTAATTGTCAATGATAGAATTTTTTCTTCCTCTGGGATTATTCTATTTATGTTTAAACTGGATTAATGACATATTTATTTTTAGATTTTGGGAAAATATATTTTTTCTCATGTGAAAAGAACATTCTTATTCTCTGTCATATTTCTAATCTGAAGGCAGCTCAATATACATACGAAGTTAACTAGCTTGCCTCTTAAGTCATTAAAGTTTTAGAGAGATTGTTCCTCACTAAGTGTCCCGCATTCTTTTCTTTCCCATGTTTCTAATCTGTAGGCAGCCCAATGTACAGACGAAGTTAATTAGCTTGCCTTGCAAGTCATTAAAATTTTAGTACTCACTAAGTACCACGCATTCTTTCATCTCTCATATTTTTAGTCTGTAGACGGTGGAGCAATGGATAACGGCCCGGAATGAGGAATCGGAGAGCCGAGTTCAAATTCCAGTCGAATACATTATATTCACTTACGTGCTAATACGCATGGGAAAGGTATGAATTCTCGTCTCCCCACCGACAGCTATGGGTAAATATCAGGATAGACCGGGTTCTATAGCCTTGGATGGCAATTGGTTTAACGCAGAAAGAAATGGCAACCTACTACGGAAAAAAAATCTGCCTCGTCTGTCATGTATCGAAAGATACATAATCGCCTAAGCGTGTATCACGCATGGCACATAACTGACTGAGACAACTCAATGTACAGACGAAGTTAACTAGCTTGCCTCTTATGTCATTAAAGTTTTAGTGAGATTGTTCCTCACTAGGTGCCCCGCATTCTTTTCTCTCATTTCTAATCTGTAGTCAGCTCAATGTACAGACGAAGTTAACTAGCTTGCCTCGCAAGTCATTAAAATTTTAGTGAGTTTGTTCCTCACTAAGTGCCCCGCATTGTGAGTTTCGTAAATACTTATAATGTTGGTTGATTTCTAATTTTTACCCCACCCCACAAAAAAAAAAAAAAAAAAAAAAAAAAAATTAGCTTCTCCCAAAAGCAATGGTGTTTTTTTTTTTTTTTTACAAGAAATGTTTCATATAAAAAGACATGGATAGCTCGAGGGATCCATAACAAAGAAAAATTATCAAGTTTAACTTAGGTTGGTACAAGGCTTCAATGGAGCGCTCAGTAAGCTAATTCTCTATTCTTTAGCGATAGTTAACCAAACAACTACGTTAACCTTATCCGAAGAACTCATGGAGGATAGAACCCACTACTCAGCAGGATAGCTTGAGGGTTCCCATATCAGAGATAAATATTCATAGTAGATTCCATGTAATTGAATACACTTTTAAAGATATTTAACTATAATCCATACAAAATGAAATGGGTGGGTACACAACAATGGAAAGGCAATGATGTGTCTTTTCACCGAGTTTAATCAACCAAAACAGTGGAGCTATCCTTAGGGAGCTGGAGGCTCTAACAGGATTGAGTATCGGTCGGCACATTCTTAACAACATAAAATACGCAGATGAAACTTTGTCGATGGCAGTCACAGAAGGAAAAACTTCAGGATTTTCTATACACGTTCTATACAAGAAATGGTGAAGAAAGGAATAACCATCAACTTAAAAAACAAAACAAAACAAAAAAAAAAAAAAAACAAGTGTATCGTTGTCGGCAAGTGAAATATGTGAGCTATGAATTGGAAAAATTTAAATGTCTGGGACAGTGTTTCTCAACCTTTTTAACCAACGGCACTCCTAGGGTCAAACGAGAATATCACGGTACACTTACCAAAATTTTTAAACGGTATACATTTAAGTGTTATGAAAAAAAGAAAAAAAGAAAGAAAAAGAAGCTACAGATTTAAATAAAACTAGCAATATAACCCATCTTTGACCAGGCCTTTCATTACTGGGAATTTTTACCGTTCAATTAGTGCAGTTTAAGTTTAAAATCAGCCCACCGGAAAATCAATATTAGTAACAACATTTGGGTGCAACTGAGGCACATCCCCAATTGCGCTGGTAATGATCTAAATGGGGGTATAGCCCTGAAAAGAGCGTTTTTTGTGTTCTCAATCTTGTTTCTCACGCGCAGAAGCAGTTGAAGCGGTGTTTTTCGTCAGGCATTGAGTCCTTTGGTGGCATGTCTTAGGCAAGTATGAATTGTCAAATGGAATGCATAGGCAAATACCAGAAGAGAACTCTGTAAAGCTACAGGGATCACTAAGCTCGAATAGCTTTAGGAAAGTTTGGAAAATAGATGTTGTGTTATAAAAAAGCAAGCTTACTTATTACTACGGTGAATGTAATGCAAAAGTAGTAGTAGTAGTAGTAATAGGCTTTATACAGCGGATAATGTAACCTCATTTGAGACAGATTGAAATTTGACCAAGAGAAGGGGAATGTGTAATTTGAACTCAAAACCGGCACTAAAGAATTATCTATAAAAACAAAAAGAATTTAAATGAAATTGGATGAAATCTGTGAGAACGCATAAACAACATCCGATCACACACACTCTTTGAGAATTATAGATATAGATACACACACAAATATAAACTTACTTCATTTCAATGTTTCTATTCAACTATTTGTACAAATTATTTCATGTGAAACCTGTGCCTGTTTTTTTTCGCGGTTTCTCAAATGTTTAGACCCTCATCTCTGCTTCAATTTGAGCGTAGTCTTTCTCGCTTCTTATTTTTGATGTAATTTAGAAAAGGAATTATTTGAAAAGAATGTTTAATACTTATTCATTTATTCAAATACTAATATGTATGCCGTGACAATATTTCGCGGCACACTTAAGAGGATCGCGCGGCACACTAGCATGCCGCGGCACACTAGCATGCCGCGGCACACTAGCATGCCGCGGCACACAAGCGACGGTTGAGAATCACTGGTCTGGGAAGTGTTTAACAGAGCATGGAAAGACTCACACCGAAATTAGTAGGTGCATTGTATTGGCAAAGGTTGCATTCCGAAACCTAAACGCAAGACAAAAACTGGACAATTTAGAAGAAAAGAGCGCTATAATATCAATCCTTCTCTATGGCAGTGAATGCTGTACAATTTTCTAAGATATGACCAGAAGATGCGCAAGTGACGAAGAAAAATGGAAATAAAATGGACAGGTATACTCACAGTCAGAAAGAGACAGTTGAAACTTCTTGGCTATATAAAGAGAAAGGAGAGTTCGGAGAATCTGACACACACAGACCATAATGAAAGCAACAAGGACTGACAAAGGCAGCGGGTTACCTACCTAACCAGGTTGTAGCTTACGGCCACATCACGTAGAAACACCGGTTTCCGTACGATCACTGAAGTTAAGCAACGTCGAACCTAGTTTGTACCTAGATGGGTGACAGCTTGGAAATACTAAGTGCTGTACACTTGGGTCTGCGAGTGGTGTGATGGATAAAGGCTCTGAATTGTCAATCGGAGAGCCGAGTTCCAATTCCCGTTGGGTTCGTTATATTCACTTACGCGCATATATATATATATATATATATATATATATATATATATATATATATGTATGTAGTAAATATATGGATATAGATCCGACAGTATGAAGAAAAATATACGGAAAAAACAAACAAAAATCCTTATATGCAATTATGCTGTTTTAAATGTCTTTGTCATGTTGAATTGATAATGTTAATTATATTTTATGAATATGTCCTGAAGATGGTTTATTAGACCGAAACGACCGACGTTGACATTATATTAACATTTAAAACAGCATAATTGCATATAAGGATTTTTGTTTGTTTTTTCCGTATATTTTCTTCATATATATATATATATATATATATATATATATATATATGTGTGTGTGTGTGTGTGTGTGTGTGTGTGTTGTGTGTGTGTGTGTTTCGTTAAAGAAAAGATCTATTGTAAAGAATCCACTTTCCATCCCCCATTCCCCCCCATTCACGAAATGTGTCACATTGATTTCTCACGAACAGGTTAAAATGGATCTCTTAGCATCGATTTTTGCTGATCTTCTGTCAGTTCGTGCAGAGATAAGCATGCCCACTCCTTTTCTTTATTTCTCAATTGCACGAAGGTGGAGGGAAATATTTGATTTTCATGCATCCATCTTTCCTGATGATGTACTGTTGTTTAATTGTCACTGATTGACTATTTCCTTTAATGTGTCTTCGTCAAAAGCTTTCTTCGTTCGGGCGAATGTTCATCACGTTTAAGGCTCTCTTTTCCACGACATAACTTTTGAAATCCATCATAAACCGTACGAAAAGAGGAACCAATCCTTGGCCAAATACTTAGCGGGGTTTCGGGCAATATTTGTCGCTATTTTCGTTCAAGTTAAAACTCACGAAAAGCCATCTTTATCCATTTTCTTTAGCCACGGTGGAGCAATGGATAGCGGCTCGGATTGGGGAATCGGAGAGCCGAGTTCGAATTCCAGTCGAATCCATTACATTCACTTACGTGCTAATACTCTTGGGAAAGGTATGAATCCTCTCCCCCCGCCCCGCCGCTAGCTATAGGTAAATAGCAGGACAGACCGGGTTCTATGTCAACTGGTCTACTGCAGAAAGAAATGGCAACCTACAGCTGGAAAAAATCTTCCTCGTCAGTCATGTATCGAAAGATACATGATCGCCTAAGCCTGTATCACGCATAACATTAGCCAGGGAGGAGGACGATAATTATGAAATACGTCGCTAGTAAATCACATGAAAGACTTTACATGTATTAAACTCTACTATTTGTTTTCAGTATAAATGTTAATACAAAAAATATCATTACATTGTCTGTCTATCTATCTCTCTATCTATTAATTGCACTATTTATGTTTAGACTATTGTCCTCATCTTTATTATTGTTATCACAACGTCTCGTCCGTTGTATTCTCCGGCCTTCCTCAGGTCTACATCTATCTGAATAACCTACGGGGAATTTTGAACTGAAGCCACTACTCAGAGGATATTGTCTAGTTCGTATTTTTATTTAGTACTGCTCAGTTATTGCTCGCCCGTTTCCACTGAATGCAATTACACGAAGAGTAAGACAATGAAATCGGGCATGGCTGATCATGTATATCAACCCCGTCGGGATGAAGTGAAAATACTAGATAAAGATGAACAATGGAGTATTAGACGTCTGAAAGAATCAGCGTATATGTTAAGCTATGGAGACCTCCTTAGTAGGCCTAGCATAGAAATAAGTACAATATGGGAACCGCTGATAAGTAAAAGAGACAAATGACAGCAAGTCTTCAACTGCAGTAAAACCTTACAGGCAGTAGCAGCAGTTATAACATGACAGACAACAGCAGCAGTTGAAAATCTCATGAACAGTCAGATTAGGTTTAAGGCTCCATGTTCACTACATCATTTGGGATCTCGGTTTTTAGTTGACTTAAATGAATGTTAAAAATTCAGCACTCCAACTGAACAAGCTGAGTGCCACACACATACTTAAAACCAGTTGTCAGTCGAGTTTTATTTGGAAAGAATAGTGTATAATAAGTGGGTCGGAAGGGATTTGTTTTTGAAGCAATTTTATCCTCTTAACTTAGACGATGACGCAGAACACTCGATTTGTTTCCATTTTTCTTTCTTTGGCTACGCGCCAAACTGAAATTAGAAAATGTTGTGAAGCAAACTAACCCAACCTCATCACACAGTTGTCAAGGACTTCAAATATACTAGAAAAATTCCAACTGGTTTTCGCTGACTTTCCTAAACAATTCAGAATCTAAAATGCTCTATTTTTGGTTAGAACAGTAAAGCGAACATTTTAAGTTAACTAAATTAATGTTTTCATTAAAGTCTGTTGAAGAATTGAAATAAGAGCCTGTTCAAATAATTGCTCTAATATTACTTGCCATTGAAAGCCTAGCATATTTTATTAAGTGTGACATCAATATGGCTTCTACTACGACTAATATTAGAATTATGACAGGGTGCGCCATCATGTGGTCGTACAACTGCAACAATAACAATTGATGTGATGATGCTGATAGCAATGAAAATAGCAATAATGTTAATAATGGCAACAGCAAGATGATAATAATAACGACAATAATAATAATAATAATAATAATAATAATAATAATAATATAGAAGAAATGAGGGTTACGAAGTTGATATTGTTGGCAATTACTACTGCAGTAAACAGAGTAAATAACCATGAAAACACACGCATATATATATGAAGGTGAATCAACAAGTACTTAACCTGATACAGATATTAGTTGAATATTTGTCTTGAAATTTTAACTATGTACGATACCGCTCTATACCATTTAATGTTTAGCTCTCCGTAAAGCATATTATTAGAAAGATTAGCCGACTGTTATTGAAGTGTAGTGAGCTCGACCTTCACATATAAATAAAATCACAAGAAACTTATTATTATCTTAGATACAAAGGACTGTATCCATGAGAACCTATCACACACTCAAAAAAAAAAAAAAAAATTTTTCAATGTGAGATGCTCAATTAATTTCTAAGCAGAAACTTTGTTTAACGAAGGTCTCAGGTAAAAGGTTTAGTAAAGCAAATCAAGAATATTAGAAATAATAATAATAATAATAATAATAATAATAATAATAATAATAATAATAATAATCCTGCAGACTGCAATGTATCATTAAAAATCTTCAAAAACGTCAAAATGCAAGGATCTTGAAATTGAAATCTCAAAAAGGTGGCACATGAGGATATCAATAATTTCTGTTGTAGTTGGAGCCCTCGGATTGATTGGAAAAAGTTGTGATAGACACATTGAAGGGATTCCTGGTAGCCCATGCCTTAAAAATACAAAAGATTGTACTAACAAGTTCAGACCACACATTACGAAGGGCTTTATGTAAAATGTGTATTATTTTAGGTGTTTTTTTTTCCGCGAAAAATGATCAGTGGGAAATGTCATGATGCCATCTCTAAACTTAGGTCTTTGTTTGGGACTCAGAAAGAAAGTAGTATACAACATAAATCGAAGGAAATAAAATAATAATAATAATAATAATAATAATAATAATAGTTAAGAGACGAGCGCGATTCAATAAAAGAAGAAAAGGAAAACAGTTTGACAACGTTAAATTTTTTTTTGATAGAATGGCTGTCTTCTTCAAGTTATATTAAAAAAAAAGTAAACATTTTTTAAAAAGTTATATATTTTTTTTAAATTCAAGTATAAATATATATAAATCCACAAAAAAACGTATAAGTGTTTGTACAAACGGTTTTACAAAAACTTATAAAGACTTGAAAACATTGATTGTTTAACATTGTAAATTTCTTTTTCTTTTCTTCATTCACGCTCATTTCTTAACCCTTTGAGTTCTGCTTTCCTGAACAATCTTCTTAATCCTTCTGCCTGAGCTCCTGAGTCAAAATTCGCAAATAATTGGCATGTAATGTTTCACGGTAGATATAAAAAAAATAGTTACAAATGTTTACCCACCTTTCAACAGGTAGCTGGGCATTAAGTCAAAGGTAAAGCGGTGGTCAGGGCTCAATGGCTTAACTGTTGGAAGAGTTACGTCAATCCTTTGTTAATAATAAAAATAATAATAATAATAAACGATGTTCATCCATGTAAAAATATACGATGGGTGTTCATCCATGTGTGTGTATATGTGTGTGTGTGTGTGTGTGTGTGTGCGTTTAGTTAGTTGGTCAATGGAAAATGTCATAATGCCGTTTCTAACCTTAGGTCTCTGGGCGGGACCCGGAAAGAAATGTGTACACACTAGAAATCCCCCCCCCAAATAATTAATGAAGAAACTTTATTCAGTCATAAAAGAAGCCAAAAACTTCAAGAGAAAATTTCAAGTGGATGAAGAAGAGAAGGTAAGTCATAATACATCTACTGCAACGACAAAGAAACTAACAAAAAGAAGGCAAAGGCAAATGCAATGGACCAAATTCAGAAACGATGTCAAGATTAGCCCCTACATAGTCAATAATCTATCCGTGCTAAACAAGCTGATGTAAACAAACCCCATACAGTAGTGCATTATAAAAGCTGAAACGTTGTATTCTTGCTGCATAGGACAAAAGCTTGCTAATTAGAAATTACCAAGCAAAAATACTGTTATATAGCAACAAAGTGTCGCTGCCGACACTTGAGATTGAACATAGATCGTTAGTGAGCAAACACAGGCGATCCCATTATTGAACTAAGTGGATCACGTGACCATGGTGGGAAAAACGCATAAGTAGGAAGTCGCGTGATGTCTAAATGATCTCTATTTCTAGTCTATCCTCTAGCACTATTCAGATCGCTATTTCTTCTCTATCCTCTATTACTATACGGTTCGCTATTTTCTATACTATTCACTCTACTATTCTCTATTCGGATCACTATACGGGTTACGATTCGGTGGTTACTTTTCGAGCGAGTATTAT